CAAAGGACAAAAAAATTAATCCAGAATGCCCTATATCCAAGTGAACAACATTTTGTAAAACTGAAATAAAATTTACAAATTATGTTAGAACATCACAGTACAATTTGTTGTGGGGTGCTATTTATGCCCATTTAGGTTCTGCTCTTTGTAGTCATTGGGTAACAAATCACATTGCTCCCACGCTGGAGGATTCCCCTTTGCCAAATGATAGAACTACAGTGCCTTGCTAGGTAGCCACGCTCCTTACACCAGCTGACAGGGATCAATCATTGGCCAAAAGGTGGGACCGACTAATTGCTGTATTTCACGCTGTTGAGATGTCATTATTGCTAGCTATGCACTGCACCTGCCCTCTTCCCGCCTCCTCCTCTCCAGATTTGCCTTTGAGAAACCAGCACAAGAATCTCCAATAAAGCTGTTCTTAGGAAAGGCAATTTAAGACTAACCCAATAAGATAAATCATTGGTTCAATAGGAAAAGTTAAAATATAATTATTTATGCCTCTTGCTGTTTTCATGTTAAATATCACAGTTTTCAATATTAAATCAACACAGATCCATATAGAAAGGTGAGATCCAATTGTGTTCATACATACTCTTAATGCATAAAGTCTTGTTAAATATTTGAGGTGATAGTCTGTTAATTAGCTTGGTCTAATATTCCACCTTATTAAAAAAATCATAACTTCCCATCAGCCAAGGTAGTGCATGTCCACAATCCCAGTACTCAAGAGTTGGAGACAGGAGGATTCTAAGTTCACAACCAGCCTATGCAATTATTTATTCTGGCAACAAGTATTCTTAAATTTTCATGTTACAGCAGATGGGAAAAAATTAATTTTAATAAGAAAATATTTGTATTTATTTTTAGTAAACAGCACATGTAAGAAATTCATTTGTCAAAGTATACATAATAATCAACTAGAGAAAATTAAAGCAAACCTAACCAAGAAATCTAAGTAAACTGCCCAGTGTATGACATCGAATCATGCTTACAATTGGTTGATCAAATACAATGCCTTTTGTGATGGGGCTTATTCAATGAATAGGGGATGATTGTAGAATTCTAATAAAATTCAGATTACATGGAATATGCAGAAAGAAGAAATTTTTGATTAATCTCAGAATGGATAAGATAGTTTGATACTTTATCATAATGTGAGATGAACACTGCTGGATCTAATGGTTATACCTATTAAAACATAGATAAGCCTGCTTTTAAAAATCAGGTTCTTGAGGTTCTCTGTATTTTCAGAAGAATGTAGTTAAAGAACAGGGCACTGCATTGGACTTTAGACCTAGTGTCCTCCCTTAGTTTTCCTGTGATCTAATTTTATGATCTGAATTCAGTTTATTGATGGCAGCCAGGACACACTTGCATGTACCAAGGAAGGACAATGTGTACTATTTGATATGTGTGAGAATCTTTGTTTATGTCTTGTGCTCTGAGTAGCTACTTTTAAGTTATGATAGACATTGTATTAATTATTATTATTCTCTTATTATTGTGTTATGAAATTTTGTTTTATTTTTCATAAATAAAAACTCCATGTGTGAAAAAAAGAATTGTCAGAAGGGCATTAAATCAGTTACCTAACTTGCATAACAAAAGCCATGGTTCCATTTTTTTGCATCACAAAAAGTAGCATTTATTATCAAGAAAAGTAAGCAAATAAAAATGCAAATGATATTAGTAGCATTTCCAACTGGTGCACAAATCCTTCAGCTCTTTCTGTTTCAGGGCTCTCAATCACATGAAGTCAAGACCATTGAAAATGTCAAGACCATTGTTGGTTTAAAAACTGTTGTTTAACCAATTTAACCAATTTGACCATTTAACAAATTGTTGTTTTAACCATTGTTGTATTTAAAAACAAAACAAAACAAAAATCTTGTTGAACATTGAAAGATCTTCTAGTTCTCAAGAGATAAGCTATCATAAATTTTCTCTTAAATCTATCATAGCAAACTTCTTATCCCTTGTTGTCACTTCTTTCCAAAACAAGTTAGAAACATTTTTCTTCTATATATTTTCTTTACTCTTTCATACATTCTCATTAGTCATGGCTTCTCTTTAAAATTCTTATCAATAAGCCTAGAAACCTTCTCTATAAATTGGTTTGTGTATAAATTTAGTAAATAAAGTATTGAAGGACTTTAACTTTTGGAGGAGATCTAAAATAACCAAGAAAGCCCCAGAAGTGAGAAATAAAGGAATGAACTCAGATACTAGATTTGATTAAAGCAATAGCAAGCAAATAAGCCCTGTATGTCTTTCATTCAGTTAAGAAATCAGACATTTTCAGCTAGGGCCTCTCTGCTGTGTGTTCAATGGCATTAGCTCATGAGTAGAAAAAAAAAAGATTTAGATCACAAATAATCAAAATAAGGAAACTGAACAAGGAGTTAGTCACATCTGCATTAGTTTGATAGGAATAAAATAGTGATGTTTATTACTTTTTAAGACCAATACGTCCAGTGTTATTTTAAGTTATTCTCTCACACTGAAATTACTGCTTTAAGAGGTGCATTAATTCTGTCAGACTTGTTAATCATAAATCAGTACCATATTCAATTACCTCCAAAAGGAAGAATGCTTTTTAAAATCTTTAACTTCTATGAAATAGCAACTAAATATTAAGAGGATGTTTATTGCAATTAAAGAGTATTGTTTTCTATATGATATGTAATTTATCCCTGACTATTTTTTATAGTCTAGAATTTAGATATTGTGACTTTGTGCCTTTGGTAGTGGTGACTTTAAAACAACTATTGATTTCTGGACCTACATTATGTTAATATGTATAGCACCAGCTCAACATGCTCCCCACGCATAGCATCTTGACTTCCTCCTATTGAGTACAATGTGAGTGCTTTAGAATTTGAGCTGCACTCCCCAAGCTGAAGGGCCCAGAAATGAATGTTGATTATGTCATTCAAAATATATTCTAAATCCAACTACTCAAAAATACATAAGTTTAACTTACTCAGAAAAAGGCCATTCTCAAGCTTATACATATGAATGTATTTCTTCTTTTTTTTTTGTATTAAATTCTTTTATTGGTGCATTGTAGGTATACAACACAATTACATTTCTCATTGGGAATTGTACCTTTATATAATGCATCTTGGTTCTTATTTTTTCCCCATTCCTAGCCCTCCCTTCACCCCCTCCACCCTTCCCTATTTATAAGACTTTATTTCCATTTTTTCCATTTCTCATCATTTTTTCCTTTTCCTTCTTTCCTTTCCCCTGCCCCTCCCGCTACTCCTACCCCTTTGGACCTTTTCTTACATTATCGATTATTCATTCTAATCATTGGTACATTTTAGGTATACAATATAATGACGTTCATCATTGGAAATTTGCACCTTTACATAGTCTCTCTTGGTTCTTATTTTTCACCCTTGCCCAGCCCTCCCTTCAACCCCTCCATTCCTCCCTATTTACAAAGATTTTGTTCCTATTTTTCCATTTTCTCATATTAATCCCATTCCCTTTATTTCCATGTAGCAAATTCATAACTTCAGCCACTGAGTGAGCCAGCTATCCACCTAATATTTAACTGAAAGTTTTAAAATTAAATTAAGGTTTATCACATTGAATAACATACATTACATTAGACTTCGAGTGACAAAGTGTTGTCTAGCAATTATCTGATGGAATTGTTGTAGTGAAATATGATAATATTCTATAAATATGTGGAACATTTCACAAAGCATTTACTGAGTATGGACATTCATATTGCTTTTATGATATATACAGACCTCGTACATAATTTGTTAATTAAAAGTGATAAATTATTAATAACTCTTTAATCATATACTTCATATGAACACTAAATCTACTACTTATTTTCTTTTGCAGCTCAAGGCATTTTCATGGGGACATAAAGACAAAAATTACAAATAATTTAGTAATAACCAATCTAAAAGTAATGTTTGTGCTTTGGCTAAGTTACAGGAGCAATTACAGTAGAGAAAGTGACACCACCTTTCTAAGTATAACTCAGAAACCTTCAGTAACTCATTCTGAAAAGCAAATCCAGAAAACAAATATAAGCATTCCAGGAATGATGTTTAGGGGGAAAAAAAGTGAGCTATGGACTGTATATGCACTTGGTTCACAGTTTTTTTTTTTCCATAATAACAAAGAGATAGCTAGAGAGAGAAGAAAAAGGGAGGGAAGGCAAGGGAAAGGAAGGGAAGGAAGGAAGGAAGGAAGGAAGGGGGTGGATGGAGGGAAGCAAAGAAGAAGGGAAGGAAGGAGAAGGGAATGAAAGGGGAAGGAAAAGGAAGAGAAGGGAAGGGAAGAAAGGAATTATTTCATAAATGATTTCTGAAATTCCCATTTGAGAATGTCATGGGACTATAGGAGCTATCATCTCTTATTTCAAGGGAAAAATTATATTAAGGGCTGTGGGAAGCATCACATGATTTTACCAGTGTGAAATAGTGCTGTATATGGAGATGATGCTAATGATATCTGATGAGTGATTCCATTTTAAGATAGAAAAACTGAGGTGAATGTTCAAATGATTCTCTAAAGTCACATTGTCATACTAACTGAGGATGAAATTTGATACCATGTTTTGTGACTGTACTGTTGCAATTTTTGAGCATAACACAATTACAGCTCTTGTTGTCAGCACGCCCCTTTTGGGGGAGGTTATGGACAGGGAAAATGGGATATAATGCATGCAAAGGTTACAGACAGTAGGACAGCTAAACTATCATTTTATTCATTTAGAATTAGAAGATATATCTAAATACATGCTGGAAAATTTTCTGTAGTATGTGCTTAATAAATTTTGTTGACGTATATAGCTACCTTTATGATCTAAAGCATAGGCATTAATATTTCAATTATGGGGGGCTGGGGATTTAGCTCAGTGGTTCTGCCGCCTGCCTCACAAGCTCAAGGACCTGAGTTCAATCCCCAGCACCAAAAAAACAAAACAGAACAAAAAAAATTTCAATTATGTTTCTCATCTTTCTAAGTGCATAAAACCCTGTGTAATTCAAGATGTCCTGCTCTGAATTCCAACTGTGTCCTCATTCCCTGAATATTGTCAATGTAAGTAAATATATAGACTGTATATGTGGTTGGGGGTTTGGCTGATTAAAGATTCTTAAGTTGTTCTGACCTTCTGAATGTATGTTTTCCTTTTTTTTTTTTTTTTTACCAGGGATCAAACTCAGGACTTGCACTTGTGAGGCAGGCGGCAGAACCACTGAGCTAAATC